TCATCTGTACATGGTAACAATATGACAGGTAGACAGTAACCATTCGACTACGCGTAGTAGTCTTTTGGGGTTACATTCTCAAATTACTATTTTGGAATAATAAAAACTTATAACTTCATTCGATCGTTAAATGTGGAACTGGAAAAAAAAAGAAACCATGGGAAATACTCCAACATTTGTTTTATATAGAAGTCGGATACCTTTTCATATTACATTTAACAATGTGGTGGTAACATGAACTTATTAGTTAGAGAAGGGTGTACCTTTATAATAATACACTTTAAAACACGAAGCTTCTCTGAAGTTGGATATCAAATCAGTGATAAAACTCAGTAACGCCAAACTTTTATGGAAGGTGAACGACTCGTACCTCAAATCCTTGGGCACTCTTGCCACTACCCATTAACATGGATACCAAAAACTTGAATCTTACAGACTCGCCAAAGATAAGTTTTACAGATGACATTGCTTCGAGAGTTTTCTTGTAGCCGTCGGGGAATACTTCGCAAACTTTGGTCAAAATCTACAGTAAAGGCAGAAAAAAATGACATCTTTCGTTTACTACTGTTCATCATAACTAGACAAAGTGGTACCTTTATGCTTCGGCTAAAGACTGTTTAATCACAACCTGACAAAGTGATGTCTTAATGTTTTAGTAACTACTGTCCATCACAACCTGACAAAGTGATGTCTTAATGTTTCAGTAACTACTGTCCATCACAACCTGACAAAGTGATATCTTAATGTTTCAGTAACTACTGTCCATCACAACCTGACAAAGTGATTGGACAGTACTGACTGAAACATTAAGATATCACTTTGTCAGGTTGTGATGGACAGTACTGACTGAAACATTAAGATCAATAACCGGACATTTAACAACATAAAGCATCCTAGATAAAAAAAATCAAACTCATTTAAATTAAATTCAGTTTTTCAGACATCCTTTTTTGATTTTATATTCTACTATTTAAAGATTTATTAAAACAAAAATCGTTAATTCATCATTCTTCTGTTGATACTCAAACAAGTATTCTATAATAATTCTTACAATAACTTCTACGTACGTAAACCACAGGTGTCTTAAAAGTATTAATACTATGAATACATTTAGAGTATTTACTTAAGTTAGCAGGTTATTACATATGTAAAAATTATCTAAGCGAACTTACTTCGAGCGCCACCACACGGGACTTGGTAAAAGTACTCATGATACATGAAGCCAGAACAGAGAGACCACTATGATGTTGAGCGATGCTGATAATGGATTTCTAAAAATATGTTTATATATATATTATTAATCGAATATTCTTAACAACTAGTAAAACAGACAGAATATATAAACAATTTGAATCATGTTATTAAATGAAAAAATATAGTCTTAACGAAAGTAGGTTTATCTTCAGAAAGCAGTACTGTATATTGGTCTAAAATGTGAAGAGATACACAGTCATATAAAGTACGTATAATCAAATCTGCTCATCACTTTAACTCTTGTTGCTGCTGCTAGGTGGCACAACAGTAGTTGTTATAATTTTCCCACTTATCACTCAAAAAATAGCTGGTCAAACGCACATAACTAGCAGGAAACTGTCTGTTAACTTGAAAACCATCGTCATGGCACGGATTAGGCCTATTGTTCCAATCTATTTATTTCGTCGGGTGACGTATACAGATGAAGCGAATACATAAAACAATAAAAAGGTTCGTTATTGGACGATTGGTAAAACATAAAAAATATCTACAGGTGTTTTCCAATGTACGTAGCAATCTTTACTAACCAGACACACACATACTTACATGTGACCGAAGGGTCATCTTTAGACACAGCAAGCAGTTGTACTCGTCAGTCTGAAAAATAAAGCAATACCACACGTTACAAAGAAATCTAAAATAAATAAAAGAAAACAGGTTTGTTTGTTTGTAATTAAGCACAAATGGCTATCTGTGTTCTTCCCACCACGGGTATCGAAACCCGGTTTCTAAAAACAAAATACTACGACATGCTTGAAAGAAAAAACAGGATAAAGTCGGCGCTTCGGGTCAACTTGTATCTCTTATAAAGAAGTCATTCTTTATGTAATTCTGCAACGTTACATTTTAAATAGATTTGGTAACTCACCAGTAAGTTTGAGGATTCATACCGCTAAAGCGCGGTGTTCGATTCCTGCGATGGGCACAGCACAGATAACCCATTGTACAGTATTGTAGTTAATAGTAGTCAGATATTATATAAAAATTGTTTATCAAATATAACGAAATTAGCCGAAAAAATCTGTCAAAGTTTCAAATCAGAGTCACTGAAAGTTGTTTAATTTTACAATCCAAAGTAATTCATTATCGTTAAGAATTATAATGTCCAATTTTCAGTGAATTTCGAAATCTCTTGTTTACGTTGTATAGATTTCTTTTTGTATACTTTTGATTTATTCGCATCTCTACGTACAAGAATCAAGAGTTATTGTTGACAGATAAAAATTATTAGACGTTCGTTACACAATGAGAAGACTAGGTACCTAGATTATTGGCACGTGAGATAACGCAACAGAAAACGCCGTAAGCTACTGGGAGCGAGGTTAATGATACTTGAAGACTCAACCAGCATATAGAAGAACGTGAAGAGATTGATTATTTGGAAGTTTCTTTAGCTACAAACCGGTACTTTTTTTTTCTGAAACAACTTAGAACAATTGCTCTTTTCTTAATTAGTTTATAAATATACAATAAGAAAATAACATTTTGAAATCTGCATAAACAAGCTACAGCGACCTCTTCACGAGATGTTTCGCTTCACATATTCTGCTGATTAGCCGTTTTTCAGGAAAATAAAAAATATCGAGGTGACGTCAACTGTCAAGACCTCTTCCGCCATTCCAGAATTTCCTGTACAACTATATATATATATACTCTTTATTTCTATCCGGTCGTTACTTAGTATATACACCTTTATCCGCGATTTGTGGAAAACTTCAGAAAGTGACGCATGTACACAAAACAAAAGTTATTTTTTCTTGAAGAATGTGGATAAAAAAAACTTACACGATTGGAAGAACAAATTAATGACCAATTATTTCTCTTTATCTGCAAAAGTTTTAAATCGGAATTATATTGTTGACAGATTTTATAGGAAGTTATAAGATGTTAATTTCAATAGCCAGTATTCTTAGAAATGAAAACAATATAAATTTGGAGAATTCAAAAAAAAAATCCAATATCGAAAGAAGAGTTTCTAAGAGATCAGGTTTTCATTTATTAAAGTACAGTATCTTTTTAGTCTTTAAAATTATTTTAAATTATTTTTGTTGCTTACTTTTCTTGATAATCTATTACGACCACTTTTTCACCAATATAAGATAAAATACGGACAATAAAGGACTTTTTGGTCCTTCAAGGCTGACCGTAAATATTGCAATCTGACAATATGGGACTGTTTGGTAATATCGCTTATCTGTGAATACTGTATACACAGTATCGTTACTATGCTTTAAACAATACAAGAAGCGTTTTTACATTTCTCTAACATAAGCCCGTGTTCTCACGGGTATTAAATTTAATCTTCAATGATCGGCGATGACCTTTTCCTTTAAACTTGGAGAGTTTTAAATATAGAACTGGTTAATAATCCAAGTATTAACTGGGTAATATTCCAAATATACTTTACACATAAAAGTGGCATGTTATGAAGTGTAAAAGAGGCACACCTTCAAGCCTGTAATATAAGTTCAAGATTTTTGAGAGCTGTAAAACTAACACCTTTGTTATTGTACGTACCTATACAGATTTGCATTTACCCAATGAATACGAATAACTCATTTTAAGGCCCCCTCCTCCTTTATAAAGTATCGTAATAATCCCTCCATAAATACAAGGAAATTCACGCCCATCACAAACTCTTGCTACCAGGGGTCCGCACAGGGTCACTGTCTAAGCCTAGAGGGTTTGCAATAAAGCTCTTTAGAAAACGTAAGCTGAAGACGTCGGTCTTTTTTGGCTCGATAAATTAATGTAAGGTTCTTTATGTACATAGTTATTTCGTAGATAATTGAGCAGTCAGTGAACTTTAGGTTTGACACTTGAACTTGAGGAATGTGTATTTTTTCTCAAAGGTTTATATCCAGCTCTATTTACGTACGTAAGTTAATTAACTTTCAGTTTCACCACTAACTAAGAGTTTGTTTACAAATTACAAAGCACTTATGACGTGTGTGACCTAGCCTAAACGCGTTAATAGTAAAAAGTGGTATAGAACTACAAGATCTAAAGAGAAAACAGAAAAGAAGCTTTCAAGCACATTCTAAATATTATTCTAGATACTTTAGTCACCATGTGGTAGCAAAATAATCACCACGGGAAACTCAAAGGAAGATAACGCTTCTTTTGTACTTGACTAGGCTTAGCTCTCTAATTGCTTTTCTCGTTTTTGTTTTAAGTTTTCTAAGAACTTCAAAGAAGGAAGGGAATAATATTCATATTTCACATAGTAAATGTGGCTGAATTGATTAAAACAAACTCTAACACGATCGTAATCGTTGGTTAATGGATTTTGAAATATGAAATTAGTTAAACAAGTAAATACTTAGGTACACGACCAATGTAATTATTACATTCTTAGAGAATTAAACGTCATCTGGCCAGTGAATATTGTTGTAAACAGTGGAACACATTCTTGACACTAACTTAACTAAGGCTAACGTACTGCATGCGTTGACAGCAAACAAATATTTAAAAGAACAATTTAAAATGTTTGAAACGTTTTAAGAAACGGATATAAATTACTGGGAAGTTAATACATAACAACTGATACAGAATTGATTCAGAAGTTTTACGGAACCTATCAATCGGTAACTGGAATGTTCTCTAACAATGACTGAATTTTTAACATCCTCTTTATGAAGTTTTGTAAATAAATACGCATATGGTGTAAAGCTTACCAGTGCTCTCTTCAGTAGATGTTTGCGTTCTTTATTTTGTACAGATCCATGTTTATCCTGATTTATTTGGCGACTATGGCAACTCTTCAGAAGGTCCAACAGCCACACGGTTCCATTTTGGGGCTCGCTCACAAAGTCTTGAAGGAAACTATCGGCCAGTAATTCGTTTAGGGTTAGTTATTATATATATATATTTATATATTATTATTATTATCATTATTCAATATTCTAGTAGAAGATGAATAACTTGCATTATATTTTGCGTAAAAGTTAAAATTTACGATCGTAGTTTATTTGGACTCGTTAGACTTTATAAGGTAATGCCGTTAAATAATTGCGAGTAAAGATACCTTACGAGAGATGGCGCTACACTATAATATCCAATTAAATTTTGATCAGTAACTGAATTTTAGATTAGTATTTTTTTGGTCAAAAGAGGGAAGTAATAAACCAAATTAGACTTCAGAGATTTTTATCCATGTCTTAGTGGAAGGTAATTACTTATGGTGAATAGCTTTTTGATCAAGTTAGGACTGCAATTTCGAGCTTTCACCAGCTTAACTAGATCTGGGATAGAAAATATTAACTACTAACTCTTCTTCATCAGGATTCGGTCCATGTTTTGGACCAGGGAGGTTCAGTTTCAGCGTAGACCTCTTCCTCCCCTGAGGGTCACAATGTAAGTACAACAACTACTAACTGATTCTGCTTCATCGGGATTTAGATCCTTGTTTGGACCTGGGAGGGTCAGATTCAATTTTGACCTCTCCCTCCCAAATCGTGGGTGTAATTTTTCCCTCAGCATAGGTGTGGTTTTAATTTCTCAGCATTTGTACACTGTCAGATGTTGAATAAAAGAGGGTATTGCTTTCATGGGTGTTTATTATACAAATTCAATTCCCCTATCAGGGCCATGTTATAGCATGATATTTAATTCCCCTATCAAGGCCATGACCATTTATGTAGGAACGTTCATCATTTAAACTGGGATACACATGCTATTCCAATGTTATTAATATTGTGGCTTATTCTATGTGTAGTTACATAAATACCCTTTTTAATACACTACAAAATGACATGTAAGGTATGTCTACCAATAGATGGCACATCACTAAACTTGTATTTATAGGTGAGAGGTAATTAGGCACATTTCCATCATGTATGATATAGCGATCTGGTGCGCGTAACATTTCGTTTTTATGTAGATTTTTCTGAAAATAGGCGAATGATCTGTTTAGAAGTCTGTCATGGAGTGGTTGTAAGTTTGATTATTTGTTGAACGAGGAACTGTTAACTAGCAGATTAGGGCTAACCGTACCTAACTTAGCAGTGATTGGCTAGAGGGAAGGCACTTAGTCAACATCACCCATCGCTAACTCTAGGGCTACTCTTTTACCATCGACTAGTGGGATTGACCGTACATTATATATTAATATTTTCTACCGCCAGTGGAGCTGGGCTGATGAAATAACTCAAAAGTGCAGTCTTCGGCTAACCAAGAACTCGTTAAAAGCGGGAACGATAAACTAATTACGTTTGCCCCAGTTTCACATGATTGCCTTGGCCAGTTTTCGTATATGTCATTTACTACGCCTGACTGAGTCGACTTTATCATTGAAGAAATGTGTTTTTTTTTAATATTCTGAAATGTTTTAAGAGGCTTATTCTACACTCCATAACTTATATCACAATAAATTAACTAGCTATCCAAATTTAGAAACACATTAATTATAAATATAATTTTGTGATTGAAATATGCAGGTCACTAGATTATTAAGTTCTCAAAAGTTAATTAAAACAATAATAGGTAATCTATTATTGGCTATTTGAAGAATGGTAGTTACTCTATTATTGGCTATTTGAAGAATGATAGGTACTCTATTATTGGTTATTTGAATAATGATAGGTACTCTATTATTGGCTATTTGAAGAATGATAGGTACTCTATTATTGGCTATTTGAAGAATGATAGGTACTCTATTATTGGCTATTTGAAGAACACTTTGTAATTTGTGTTAGGATTGTTAATCTTCGTAAACGCATCATCGCTGTACCCCCCCCCCTTTTTTTTTTCCTGCTATTGTGTTAGACGAGGGTTCGTTTTAAAAGAGTTAATAAATTATTAATTATAAACTGAAATGAAAATACAGTTAAAAAAGCTGACCTGAAAATGGTGGAATGGATTGGGAATATTTCTACAATTTGGACTGATGTTTTTAAAGATGTAGAATATTTTATACATTTCCAAAACACTATCCAGCCAATTAAACATTTAATTAAAGAAGAGCGTGTTTTGACTTCAGAGTATTCACATGTTGTAGGTCTAACAAAAAAAACTAAAGTTATTCACATGTTGTAGGTCTAACAAAAAAAACTAACGTTATTCACATGTTGTAGGTCTAACAAACCAATCTCTA